TTAACAGCCCTCAAGTTGGCTTCAACTCAGGACAACCCCATGAATGAGACATCTCCAGGACATCCTTGTTGGAATAGGAACACTTTATAACTTTAGTCATTATAGGGTTTGCGGTGAGCTACTGAGATATAAATGGTTTTCTGATCTGCTGTTGAGCCTTCATATAGCTAGTTTCATTTGTGCTCCCTCCCTCCCTCTTTCTCTTAGCCTTCTTTTTTGTCTTTGCATTATATTTTGTGTTACCCAGTTTGTATTATTTGATATATTTGCTATTTGGTATTATTCTATTTGCCATTATTGCTCTTGCTCATTTTGTATCTTTTGGGTGTGGATTGGTTTTGAATACTTTTGTTATTGTTTTGCTACTTTTCAGGCAGGTGGAAAGATTATTTATATTGCCTTTTGTTTCTGGCTTTTCAATTCCATTGTTTCAACAGTCCTATCCTCGATTGGTTTCCTTTATTGAATCTATCCATCTAATATCTGGCCTCCCTCTCTTTCTACTGCCCTCCACCTTTCCTACTACTGCGGTCTTTTCTAGTGGGTCATCTCTTCTTATGATGTGGCCAAAGTATGGCAACCTCAATTATGTTATTTTGGCTTCCAAGGATCCTAAAGAAATGGTACTCAGCACAGGAGGCAACCGTCAGAAAAGAATACGGAGAAACAGAATGGTTCCCAATTGGAAAGAGGAGCAGACAAGGCTGCATTTTATCACCCTACCTATTCAACTTGTAATGCAGAAAATATCATGTGCAGAGCAAGTCTAGACATGGAAGAAGAAGGAGTGAATACTGGAAAAAGGAATAGCAATAGTCTTAGTATATGCAGAGGACACCATACATCAAAGACTTGAAACAATTACTAATGAAAGTGAGAGAGGAAAGTGTTAATGGACACCAAGAAAACAAAAATAATGACCACAGAAGAGCTACAGGAATTCAATACAGACAGCGAGGAAAGTGAAATAGTTAAAGATTTCCCATACTTTACATCAACTGTTGATCAGAATGGGGATTGCAGTCAACAAATCAGAAGACTAGGATTGGGAAGGGCAGCTATCAAAGAACTAGACAAGATCCTAAAGTTAGGCTCGTCCAAGCCATTGTGTTTCCTATCACCATGTACAGATGTGAGAGCAGGAGAATGAAAAAAAAGTATTGGTACAAAGTGCAAAAGTGTGGCAAGGCACTAGATCTCTCTGGATGAAAATCCTAAATGCTCCTGACTAAATTCCAAAACCATAGGATTCCATATCATGGAACCATTGCATTTGGGTAGTATCATCATGCTATAATTGTCCAGAGGGTTGGATTTAGCCCCAGATCCAGAGGATCCCATTGCAGTCTTACACCTTCTGTGAATGTCGTCAATACAGGACAACAGAACATGAGAGAGCCATTTGGAAAATGAATACATGTTAAAGCCAAAGCAGATATCTGATTTACAGAGAGGGGAAATGCAAAATCTCAGCCATGCACCATGTGAGGAAATAGCTTTGGAGTACACAGCAAAGCAAATAACAGGAGCAGATTGCTCTCCATTTCCCTCCAAGCTGCAAAGGTTGGCAGCCTTCCTCCTTATGCTATATTCCCCCCTGTGTTTCTTTTCCCAACCTCTTTGTTGCTTAGAAGTCTGTCGTGTCTGTAACTTTCTCTGCATAACAATGGGTGAAGCATTCTCATGGAGATCAAGAAGGAGGAAGGAAGGGGGGGGGGATATAGCAGCACCTTTAAGACCAAGAGTTTGTTGCATCAGCCAAAAAATAAAAATAAAAAATGCAAAGGCACCCATAAATTACTGGAAGAGGATGAGGGAAGGTAGAAGGGAGACACAACAGCAACTGTGTTCAGCTTTCCCAAAGAGGATTCAGGCTGTCTTTGTGGTACAATTCATCTCTGTAAAGAACAGGAAGGGAAATGGAAATGAATCAAGTTTTTGCAGTACAGAGGAAAATAAAAATCACAACCAGACTGTATGTTAAAGAGCCAGCATGGCTTAGTAGTTTGAGTCTTAGAATAGGACAGAAGAGCAGGGTTTGAATCACAGCTTGGCCATGGAAATCCATTACACAGGTCTCACTCATCCTCACTCCAAATAAATCTTGCCAAGAAAATCTGAGAATTGAGTCACCGTAAGTGGGAACCAACTCAAAGACACACAACAATATCATCCCCAATCTTGGTTTCAAGTTCCCTTTGATGTCTCAGATCTTGAGGAAGGGGTCTCTTGTTCTTCCTTTTTGTTGTCACCTTTTATTTTTCTGCATTGATTATTACAGTAGTCTTTCTTGTCCCTCTGCACAAATCATCCAACAGTTGCTTCTGACTATTTCTGTCACCTTTTACTTCTGCTTCTCATTTATCCTTAACTGCTTGAACAGTTTCAACTGTCACCTCTTTTTATAGTTATAGCAACACATGGACCCATTCAGTTTTCTGCCACAATAAAGCCCTCCAACACGAATGACTGGATTGTCACCAGGCATTTCTCATATTTTTTTTCACAAGGGCTAGACACATACTGATTTTTTAAAAATTAGGGCCCCTGAATTTAGTGGCCAGTGTAACATTCTTTGGTATGTTTTCTTTCTATACACCTATAGAACTCTGGAAGCCAGTGTGGAGTAGTGGGTTGGGTGCTGGACTATGACTCTGGAGACCAGGATTCGATTCCCTGCTTGGGCAAGTCACATGCTCTCAGCCTCAGGGGAAGCAATGGCAAACCTCCTCTGAACAAATCTTGCTGAGAAAACCCCAGGATAGGTTCACCGCCTTAGGGTTGACATCAGTGGGATTCCCTAGGGTTGGTGTCACCCGGTGCGGTAACTCATGGTGTCACTGACCTCCTCCACACCATACAGAATCTTTAATAACATGGGGTGTTGTTTTTTTAGTACTAATATTACTCATATATTGTAATTCACATAGATCACTGAATGCCATGGCAATAGTTGTGACATAAAACAACTGGCACAATTAAAACGATACCTTTAAATTACAATACCATATGCATGGAATAAATGTATTGATGTATACATTGTTTCATGCGCTTAAATTGAAAATTTGATAAAATGGGATGTTTTTAAAGAAAATTTCAAAAATGTATACAACCTAACCGGGGGTGACACCATTGCTCCCCAAACATCTATGTTTGGGAAGAAACAGGCTGCGGCATTTGCCTGTATCTCTTTAAAATGCTGAAGAGGTGAATGTGAGTGGGGTGAGGTTCAATGGAAGGAGAAATTTAAATTTAAAAACAAAACAAAACCTGAGGCCTTTCTCAGCATTTTTAAGAGATACCAAAGGTAGATGTTTGGGAAGCAGTGATGTCACCCCCAGTTAGGTTGTCACTTACCAATACCACTGGCTGTCATCATGAACTATGGCTCACATATAGAGTCCTAGCTCCCTCTGTTCATATTCTATATCCAAATTGTGATGCCTTTCATCCTTTCTTTTCCCTACCCATGCCCCCCACCACCATCACCACCCTGTTTTTGCTTCAGGGGTCTTCCTTCTCCTCCCCTTCGGACCATCAATGAGGATCTTGCTCTGGGGGCCATCTTCCCTGCTGGCAAAGACAACAGCTGCAGTGCCAGGCAGAGGCGGCATCTGCCCTGCTGGTGTCAAACTGACATCCCTTGCAGATGGAATGCAGGCACCTTTTGTTAAAATCCCCAACCTGCTGAATATTTAGCAGGCCCATTTACATTTTGTGTGCCCAGTCATGAATAAGTAAAATTTTAAACTTTACTTGGAAGTGCCAGATTGGAGCAGGGGAAGGAAGAGGAAAGGATGGAGGGAAGGAGAGATAGGAAGCCTCCTGTGGTTTCTCAAAAAGAGCTGGGCTGCATACATCCTCCACTGACAGTAGTCAAAGGAGGGAAAAAAGGAATAGATCTCATGCAAGCCAGTTTTGATGTACTGGCTTGAGTGTTGGGACTAGGAATCTGGGAGATCAGGGTTCAAATACCCGAAGCGGAAATAAAAATGGCTTTGCGTGTGCGGACTCCAAAAAATGCTTTCATCTATGTTATTTGTGCATCCTGGTCCGAGGGAAGTTCTTCTGAAAGAGCAAGCTGTGAAGGCTGTATCGCACATTTCGTTCTTTGCAACACCAAGGGACTGGGGAATGGGTTATGCAATGCATAGGACCTTATCACACGGAGGCAAATTGCTTAAATCCTGTGCAGAAATGGGATTTAAAAATAATAATAATTAAAAAAAAACACTTCAAAAGTGGAACAGGTGAAAGATATTTTTAAAAATGAAATGAACTTCATATTTGTTTTATTTTTGGAGCAGGGGAACCACAGTTTTGGGGTTAGCTTGAGGAGGATTTGGGAGCCCCTGGGGCTGCTGGAATGATCTTGAGGGCTGGATGCAGCCTGTACACACACCTCTTGCTTTAAAACATTTTTAAATAGTGTTAAAGAACAGGATTCTTTTCTACTTTTGAACCCATTTTACATTTTGAGGGGAAGGTGGATGAAAAAAAGCCTGAAAGTACCAAGTCATATAGAAATCAACATTTCTAAATACATATATATGGGGACTTCCAGATGGGTTGGGGGTAGAGAATCCCTGGAAGTATCAAGAGTTTCCAATTGTTTTTGTTTATATTATTGTTGTTATTCTGTACCTTCGTTTCCAACTTATGGCAAACCTATCAAGCCATCCCACTTTTTCAGATGCTTTTAAAATGTCCCAGTTTCTCTCCTCCTCCCACTTTTCCCCTTGGTCCTCTCCTTACTTCAGTTGCTGCAAACTGAGTTCAATGTGCAAAAATAGTTTGCACTGCATTGACTCATTTGGGGAGAAAGTGTCAGAATCTTGACCTTCCCAGTAGGTTCAGGCCAAAGCAAACTGCAGCTGCCTCCCTTAGCTTGTGTGTTCTCCATCATTCATAACTTTTGCCATCTTGACCACGTTCTAATATTGCTTGGCCACATGTATCCATTTTCCATCTGTGAAATGATGGAGGGTATGCAAGTGGTTCCACTAAAGCATGTGAAATAAAAATTGCCCATGGGTTAATGTTCATGCTGCTGAATGCATAATGTATTACTGTGTATAGGGGAGCTTGGTGTAGGAGGGAAAACCAAAAGTAGACAGGCCAGTTAGGTAACAGTGCAACCAGGTTGCAAGGAATGTTGTTGTCTTGTGCGGCTGCCAAAAGTTCTCAAAGGTTCTATTGTCAACGGGGGCCAGTCGTTTTCCTGCTCTTTCCTAACCACGGGGCTTAAATGTACTGCTCAGGAAAACACACACACACACACACACACACAATTTTTACAGGTCTGAGAACTGCCAAGTCCCCCGAGCAGCAGCTGGGAGTCCTCATAGTAAGTTGCAGGCCCTCTTAGTGAAGCTGTCCAGTTTCCTTTCCTGGGGCCTAATAGAGGGATTGGGGGTGAGGGGGGATACACACAAAAGCATAACAACTCAATTTCCTCTGGCTTAACCCAGCTGGGAATCAGCCTTTTACTCTTGACTATATGAAGCTGGTGGGCTTCACTTAGCAAAGAGCATAACCAACAAGTAAGTCTAGGAGACCCAGAGAATCATAGCATCATAAAGTTGGAAGAGACCCCCAAGGGTCATCCAGTCCACCCCTCCTGCCATGAAGGAAGATAGCATGGAAGCACTCCTGACAAATGGCCATCCAGTCTCTGTTTAAAAACCTCCAAAGAAAGAGATTCCACCACACTCCAAAGCACTGTGGAACACCTCTTACTATCAGGAAGTTCTTCCTAATGTTGAGGTGGGATCTCTTTTCCTGTAGTTTGCATTCATTGCTCCAGGTCTTAGTCACTGGAGGAGCAGAAAACAAGCTTGCTCCATCCTCAATATGACATCCCTTCCAATATTTCAACATGGCTATCATGACGCTCTATAACCTTCTCTTAAACATTCCCAGCTCCCTAAGCCTCTCCTCATAGGACATGGTTTCCAGACCTTTCACCATTTTGGTCACCTTCCTCTGGACATGCTCCAGCTTGTCCACATCCTTTCATGAACTGTGGCTCCCAGAACCACAGTTCATGGTGACCGTATTAAAGTTGACAACAGCGGGAGACATTCTAGCCATGAAAGCTTGGGAGAGCCTCCATGTTCAGAGACAGTTTACCCTAGAGTCACAAGGGAAGTTGTGATGTTTAGACTATACCTTCCAGACCACATTTGTGCACTAAAGTTCCCAATGGTCATGCTGGGAGCTGTAGCTGGAAAAACTCTTCCAAACTCTGCTGTACTTTGGAAGGATAGCATGTCTCAATATGCAAAATCAAACACCAAGATTTAAAAGATCTTACTGGGGGTTCCTAGGATCAGTGGTAGAAGAAGTGGGTACTATTCTCAGTGGTAGTACCCTGACTATAGAATGGCCCCTGTTCTGATCTCTTAATATGAACTTATCTTAATTACCAGACTTTTTAATTATTAAACTTTTTAAAAAATCTGGTAATGTTTTTGTTCTTTTGTTTAAGAAAAGAACTAACTAAGATGGATACTACTAATAAACACAACTATTGTTTCCAGGACCGTATCGTCCAACACATGAAAACCCAAACATGTGTAAACTAGGCATAATTCCTTTGTGATCTCATGGGGCTGGGCCCTGGCAGTGTTACAAGCGTGATGTTTCAAGGGACAGCCACTGGTGATGGCATTAAGCATGACACATTACACATCAACCACAGTTGCATAGATTATATTATTCAAATTTTTAAAAACCCAACAACATTATGCCTAATGTTGTTGGGTTTTCAAGGCAGCGCTCTCACCCTGACATGCTTCCTCTTTCTCACTCTGAGTATTGGAAAAGAAAGGACAGGCCCACCGATCTGGGAACCGTATATGTAACCAGAATAGAATAATAATAATAATAATAATAATAATAATAATAATAATAATAATAATAATAATAATTTATATTTCCCGCCTCTCCCTACGGATCAAAGGGGGATAACAGTTGTTATAAAAATACAATACAAAAAAATACAAAACATAAGATATATAAAAACCACAACAACAATATCCCCCCCCCCCACAATAAAACCCCATGATCCCTCTAAATTAAAACCCATACCCTATCCCCTATCCAGAGAGCCGGTTGACTTCATCTTCACACACCCGGAAGGTCATATTGATAAGGCAATTAGTTTTTTACAAATTAGGAAGGTCAGGTGGATAGGCCCGCCAGAAGAACTCCGTCTTAATTGCCTTCTTAAAGGCTTCTGGTGTATTAACAAGAATACCAGAATAGAAACAGAATACAAATAGTCACAGATTCTTCTCCTCTTTTGCAAGTGCCAGGTGTTTCGAGCGACCGAGAACTTCATTTTTCCAGAACGCTGTGCTTTCATCTGCCTGAATCCAAGGGAACATTAACAAGTCAGTGGAAGCAAAGTTCTGGGCCCTGGGTCTACCATTTGCTGCAGAACAGATCCATCTGCTTTTACAGGCAAACATCCTCCAAGGCATTGGGGGGTGTTAAAGAGATCACCTTGGAGAGGCTGTGCCAAGGAGTATCCACCAGAGTCCTGTTTTTCTTGTGTCTGCTGTTCAGCAGACTCAGCAGAAGTTGAGGTAGTCATGTGGAAGAGACTGTGAACATGCCAGCTGACCTGGCGGTGGGGGGAAAAGAGAGAAGAATAAATGGCTTGGAAAGTGTTCAGCATGGATTACAACTCAGTGGAGTCATTCCTCTCGCTCCGTCGCTGCCCAAGAACGGCCAAAAGCTGGAGGCAAAGCTTCCCAATTACCACCAGGATGGAGGCTGGAGGACTTGCTGATGCCAAAGGCTCTAATTGGCATCAGCATTGCCAGCCATTTCATCTGAATAACATTACCTCGATTATATGCATATATGTGTCCCTGAAGACTGGAACATACCACAGATCGAGTTCAGCCTCTTGCTGGCCATACTGCGTCCAAAGGGTATGGCCATTTGTTTCGAATAGATGGCCATTTTACTTCCACTCACTCTCCAAACTCCGGTCTTTAATGCTGCCTGTTGGTTGGCACAGTTAACCATAGTTCGGGGAGGTAGAGGTAGAAGAAGGAAAGAGAACAACATTTCACAGCTGCAGTTTGGATCCCGGCAATGTTAGCCATTGGAAAGTCTGAGGATATAGTTACTTTTTCCGGTAATAAGGCCAGTTTGTATACATAAAAAGACCAGTAAACCAGTTTGAATGTATGACTCTTGGAAAGGGCTCAGGTCTTTTCTTGCCACCCACAGCTGTCTCACTGCTGGTTTGGGAACAATGGCATCACTAGGGTTGGTGTCTCTCTCACACACACACACACACACACACACACACACACAGAGTAACTCATGCTGTCACCCCAAGGCTGCCTGGCACATATCCCAACCAGCCCTCTCTACCAGCCAGTCTACTTCTACCATGGTCCAGGTCTGATGGGGCTGCCCTTTCCTGCTTGGTGAGTAGACCCACCAGATCCTGAGGGCCGCCACTTCCAGAAAGATGGAAGACCTAGAAGGAAGTTTCTTATGGAAGCCTGGAAGACCCAGAAGGCTGCCCCTTCTGGAAGGCCAGAAGACCCAGAAAGCAGCTTCTTCCAAAAATCTAGAAAACCTGGAAAGCAGTCCCTTCCACAAGGCCAGAAGGCCTGGAAGGAAACCCATTCTAGAAGGTTGGAAGACCCAGAAGGAAGTTCCTCAAGGAAGGTCAGAAGACCCAGAAGGCCGCCGCTTCAAGAAGGCCAGAGGACCTGGGAGGAAGCTCTTCTGGAAGGCTGGAAGACCCAAAAGGAAGCCCCTTCTGGAAAACCCAGAAGGCAGCCCATTCCAGAGGCCATTGGTGGGGTGCATGGGATATTGCTGCTTCCTGGCAGTCCCTTCCAGAAGCTTAATTTCCCACTTGGCCAGCACTCCCACCAGACCTGGAAGGGGCTACTGGGTGACAGAAGCACTCCACCTTCACTGGTGGTTGCAGCCGATGGATGGCAGCGGCACCTGGCTGGCAAAGGGCTGGCAGAGCCCTGTTGTGATTTAAGCCTGCATCCATGCAAGATGTATTTTCTATGCACGACTTGGGTTCTTCCCATCAACTCCAGGCCCTGCTTCTGTGGTGGGACAGTACAAGGCAAGGTAGGAAAGCCACTGCTGTGAACATGTAACCTCCTTGTTCTCCCAGTCAGGAAGAAATGTGATCCAAATGAACTCCACTTAAGACTGGTCTCTGCATGCCTTGCCTCTTCTGTGTCTTGTGAGACTTTGGTCCTTCCGTCGTTTGGCAAACCTACGTGGTAGCTGGACCAAAGAATTGTGTGTATACATTGTGGGGGAAAGGATGAATGTTTTTACATACACCATTGGGGGAAATGATGCTTCTTCTGTCACAACACCATCCATTCTTTCAAAAACAATGGTCCGCTTCCAAGGAGGGACAGTCCATTGCATCTGGAAGCACATATCCCTGTTGTTGTTTTACTGAGAACAACAACAGCTCCCTCCTTTGCCAATAGGCTGGCTTCCCAAGGAGTTCTCTCTCCTTTACTCCTCCAAGACCTGGATCAGTTCCTTTTCTGCTTTATAGACCACCACCACCCTTCATCACTTTGATTTATAGACTACGTATCCCCAAGGCATTAGGGAGCCTCCTACGTTTTGTTCCAAGACAAGGTTTTATTTTAAAGAGAACATGACTCTTTTCAAAAGGAGGGGGGAACTCTCATGGCTTTAAGTCTCATTCATTCTCCCTTTGTGCAGCTCACAAGATTTACAATCCTTGGATTGAATTTCATCTCATCTGGAGAAACAGAGCTTCGGTTCCTGCCTTTCTGGCTTAATGTTTTGTTCTTTGTTATCATTTGCTTGGAAGGAACCGGCTAAAAATAGTGAGTTGCTTGTGGTTCTTCTCATTTTGAGTAATAACTAACTAAGGGTACAATTACACTGTAGCGATAAAGGCAGTTTGACACCAGTTTAAGTGCTGCAGCTTCATCCTATGGAATCCCTGGATTTGTAGTTTTACAAGGTCTTTAGCCTTCTCTGTCCAAGAGTGCTAGTGCCTTACAAAACTACAAATCCCAGGATTCTGTAAGGTGGAGCCATGGCAGTTAAAATGGTGTCAAACTAAATTGTTTCTACAGTGCAGATGCAATCTTAGTTATGTCTCAGTTATTACTCAAAAAGAGAAGTTTGAGAGAGTCAATGCGGTGTAATGGTTTAAGAGCTGGAATGGGACTCCAGAAGACTGGGACTCGGCCATCTAAACACATTAGGTGATCTTGGACAGGTCTCACTCTCTCAGCCTCAGAGGAAGACAATGGCAAGCCCCCCCCCCCAAAGAAATCAAGCCAATAAAGCCTTGTGGTATGTTCACCTTAGGGTCTCCATAAGTCAGAAACAACTTGAAGGCATAGAACAACAACAAAAATAAATGGCATTACAATACTAACAGAACAAGGGGTACTGTCATATCTTTTTTCATTGCAACTAGAACTGTTTTAGTGATTTTTATAGGCCAAGACTGTATTTAATGTTCTCAGGTATGGTTGGTGGCAATGTATAAGAGGGGCTTACTGGTATGGGAAAATATAGAGCTTACTGCTATGGATCATGCTCCCTGAAAAGCTTGGAAGAACTGCATTTTTTGAACTACAGTTGCCAGTATCCTGGCAGAGAGGCTGAGAGAGTGTGACTTGCCCAAGGTTACCCAGGTGGTTTCTATGGCTGAGTGGGGATTCGAACCCTGCTCTCCAGGGTCATAGACCAGCATTCGAACCACTACACCACGCTGGCTGCCAAATGCCAATAATATTTCCTTTGGGCAGGCATAGGAGCTGCCGTCCATCTATGCCCATACATTTGCCAGCCTGTTTGCTGAAGCGCTTCCTCATCCCAGCCCCCATTTTGCAAAGAATTCAAAAAGCTTCGACACGTTCAGATATAATTTACAATCCTTTTTTTTTTTTAACAATCCTTTCTCGCAGCATTACACAGGGCCCATTTGTTAAAAAAGGGCACCCTGCTTTTTAAAGGCCTCCATTTAATCGACCTGCAACTCTACCTGCGAGAAATGTGGCTTTGATGACCCATCAGATCAAAGGGGAAGTGTGGTGTTTATTGGATTTAGGGTTGGGTTTTTGTTTTGTTTTTGTTTTTTTGGTGGGGGGAATGGAATTGTATATCTCCCAAACCATAAAACTGAAATATGGTTCTTTGAGAGAGTTTTTTTCCCTCCCGCTCTGCTTTCGTCTTGGGATTTCAACCGCTGACCTTGTAAAGCCCAGAGGGAGCAAGGCAGGCTGGCTTGGAGTGTCATTTGAGAAAATGAATGGGGCGACAAATCATTCTGTAGCAAAGCAGCGCAGGTGGCACTGTCTCTACCACTCCTGAGCCTGTGGGCTTATGCATGTACCGGCTCATCCCTGGGAGAGGCATGCATCATTTTAATGAAATCTGCTTGCAATGAAAAATGGGTGTTTCTGTAGGTGTGCTCCACAGAGCTAGAGCCAGGTCAGAGGCAGCCTTAGGTGTTCTGGTGCAGCCTCCTCTTTTATCATTACTTCTTGCCAGGCCCTGACTCATGGTGATCCTATGGGCAAGACATCTCCAAGCTCCTCTATTGTCTGTTGCTCTGCTTAAATCTTGTAGGTTCATGTTCTCGACCTCCTTGAGTCTAGCCATCTTGGATGGGGTCTCCTTCTCTTTCGACTGCCCTCCACCTTTTCTGGCATTATTGTCTTTTCGAGTGAATCATGTCTTCTCATGATGTGGCCAAAGTATGACAGCCTCAGTTTCGTCATTTTGGCTTCCAGGGAGAGATCTGGATTGATCTGTTTGTGGACCCATTTGTTTGTCTTTTTGGCCATCCACGGTATCCTCAGCACTCTTCTCCAGCACTACATGTCAAATGAGTTGATTTTTCTCTTATCAGCTTCCTTCACTTTCCAGGTCCCACATCCATACACAATGATGAGGAATACTATGGCTTGGACAAGTCTGACTTTGGTGCTGAGTTGAATGTCTTTGCTCTTTTGGATCTTAGTTCTTACATGGCTTCCCTTCCCATTCCTAGTCATATTTCTTGGCTGCAGACCCCATCCTGATCAATGTTTGATCCTAGGTATGGGATCTCTTTAACTATTTTGATTTCTTCATTGTTTAGATTGAATTTACGTAGATCCTCCATGGTCATTATTTTTGTTTTTTTTTATGTTGTGCATTAAGCCTGCCTTTGCACTTTACACTTTGACCTTCCTTAGTAATTGTTCCAGATCTGAGATGTTTTCCATGAATAGTATGGTGTCACATATCTAAGATTGTTGATGTTCCAGAAGGTGTTATGAGGGACAGCCAGTGCAATGTAGTGGTTAGAGTGTTGAACTCATTGGGTGACCTTATCTCCTCCAACTCTCTTGATATGACAGGCACCATCCCAATTAATCCTCTGTCATCCCAGTTCTCAACTGTTTTTAAAATGTCTCAGTTTCTCTCTCTTCCTCCCACTTTCCCCCTTTGTCCTCAGCTTACTTCCATTGCTGCAAATTGAATTTAATGTGCACAAGTAGTTTGCACTCAATAAACTCAGCAAAGGAGAGAGGAGAGTAGAAGTGGAATCTGGCTTTTCTCAGGATGCTCAGGCAAAAGGAAACTGCTGCATATAATAACGCGTCTCGAAACCAAGCCCTATGTGGAGGAATTGAAGGAGATGGTTGTGTTGAGTTTGGAGAAAAGATAACTGAGTGATGATATGATCGCCATTTCCAAATATCTGAAAAGCTGTCATGTGGAAAACAATATGTGTTTGTTTTCTGCAACCCCCAGAATCCTCCATCCAGCATGGCTTTTGGATTGAAATACCCAGAATCTCCCAGCCAGATGGGTTTTTTGGACTGCAGCACCCAGAACCTGCTAGTCAGCATGGCTTTTTAGAATGCAACTCCCAGAATCCCCCAGTCTGCCTGGCCAGTGGCTCTGGTGACCATTCTGGTCAGGAATTCTGGGAGCTAAAGTCCAAAAAAAGCAATTTTTGTGTACCCTGATAGTAAGGCTGGTCCTGTAAGCTCCCTGCTCCTCTTGACATCCTTCCTTCATAGGACAGTTCTCCCCTTTAGGACACACAGCTTCCAAAATCTCAGCCCTTTCCTCAGTTGTAGCATCATCCTCTTAGCTGGAGTGCAACTTCTCTTTGCATCCTTGGACCAAACAGAAGGCAAGCTGTTTCCTTGGCAGCAGGATTGGAAGCAAAGAGTCCTTTTGCACCTACTGAATAATGCATCAGTTTGTTCTTGTAGGAGTCTGACAACACTGCAGGCTCCTCTGTATTACTTACAAGTTCACTGAACTCGCTGTTGTTCGATTAGTGACAATCCCCAAGAGTCAGAATCAAGACTGTCTCTCTTCTACCGGAATAATTTCTCTTCTGCAAAGTGGTTAGGGGATCCATTTCCTTCTCCCTCCCCCATTGCTTGCCTTGGGAGACTTTAATACATGACTAACTCCTTGGGACTTTCCTTCTCTTGGCCTGCTTTTGAACACATAAAAGAAGCCAAGTGGGCATTTTGTAAATGGAGAAACAGAGCAATTAATAGGGCAATCTGATATAGGCTTACTCACTCCTAAGCCCTATAGTCCTCATTGGGATTTGCTCACAAGTTGCGTGAGCATAGTGTAGTGGTTTGAACGTTGGACTACAACTCTGGAGACCAGGGTTCAAATCCTTGCTCAGCCATGAAAACCCCTGGGTGGCCTTGGGCAAGTCACACTCTCTCAGCCTCAGAGGAAGAGAAAGGCAAATCCCTTTGAACAAATCTTACCAAGATAACCGCATGATAGGGTCACCTTAGGGTCTCCATAAGTCAGAAATGACTATGAGTCTTATCATATAGCTAAAATAAAGCTTTTTACCTGAATCGGATTTAATTTTAAATCAGCCTGCATCTGGACCCTATCACAAAGATTTTGCTGCCCAAATTGCTGCCCGAATACAGCCTGGGTCCATCCCTGCTCCTAGGTGCCTCTTTTCAAAACTGGGAGTTTTCTGGCTTGAAAATGGCCACCGGAGCGCTCCTGGAAGCAGAGATGGACCCGGGCTGCATTCAGGTGGCGATTTCAGCAGCAAAATCTTTGTGATAGGGTCCAGATTCAGCCCGATTTAAAATTAAATTCGATTCAAGTAAAACACTTTACCAGCCATGCAATAAAGTCCTATGTCAGAGTCAATCTTTTGCTAGTTTGGCACCATCTAGATGTTTGTTGTTGTGTTTCTTCAAGTCATTTCCGACTTATGGTGACTCTAAGGCAAACCTATCATGGGGTTTTCTTGGCAGGTTGTCACCCTGGCAATAACATATCACTACCAATTTCCCTTCCCATTGTGGGTTTTCAAGATAATGATCCACACTATAAATTGCACCCAGATGCAACAGCCCATGAAGACAGTGCGCAAATGAATGAACATGCTCCCACATGCTAATTAAGAGTCATTAGCAAAAGTTTGCCTAAAGTAACTTGGGGAAGGCAATCTCTTTGGATGAGACATGCGGAGAGCAAAGAAGACATTCAACAAGACTAGTGAATCTTGTTTTTGACGGGGGTGGATGTTTTCTATTCATAGTGGTCTGCATTCCCCACACTCCTGTAATGGTGTCCCTGCGACTATGACCTGGTATAAGTAAGAAGTGGTTGTAGGCACTTTGCAGAGACAACCTTGATAGTATTAGTGTTTATTTTCAATTTTGTGTGGTCAACCATTCAACAACAATCATGGTGAGGTTCACTATTGTAAGAGAAAGGGAAGCAGACCTGCATAGCGCAGTATGAAGTGGTATATAAATGAAGCTGCCATTGTTATTGCTACCTGTAGCTTAGTTGCTGACATATGAGAACATTGACAACTTCTGGCTTCAGCCAAGGTCATTCTCTCTCATTGCCATAGTAGAACTTCTTCACCCTCTGCAAATTTGATAAAATATGTCAAATTTGTTGTGGCAAAAATGTTAAAGAGTGTTCAATGCAGGATATGTGTGTTTTCTAGTGCAAAGAATAATTTGGAAATCATACCATATAGTTTTGCATGGCAAGCAAACCCCATTCTTTGACCAGTACCTGTATTTAAAAAAGGTAGTGTCCAAGAACCCATGTACACCCTAGTTATTAATAAATAACTTCTCCAACTAGCAGGAAGTGGCAAATGTTTGAAAAGTGGATTTTAAAAACAACAAAATAATTGTTTGCCCACAGTGGTTGCTTTCCTGGCTCATGTCAAGGTTTTTGTGGTGCTAAAAATTGCCAGGAGTCTGAGAAATAATTGGAAACCACAGGAAATAACCACATTTCCCCCACTGTCTGACTCCCTTCCTACCTCTAAAACCAGTGGGAAATGGTTATGTGAGATACACATGGTTTGCCATACTAGTTCTATTTGCCAATGACCCAAAGCTGGGTGAAGTAGAAGGGACTTGAATGTGGATCAAAAGGACATTTCCCACTATTTTGCATTTTTTTTCCACCTTGAAAAGTGTAGACATCATATGCTTTTCCAGTTTCAGATGTCTAAAAATCATCACAGTGTGAAACATTAAGTTTTCTTTCCTACCCTGATCACATTTTCCTCTCCTTCCCATCCCTTCTAAATCATCATCATCATCATCATCATCATCAAACAATCATAATTCCAAAGCAGCATGACCAACAAAGGGTGTTGTATTGCCTTCAAGACGCCCTCATACATTCACTACACCATGAGACCTACCCAACATATTAGACTTAAGTTCCCAGAAGCCTCAGCCAATATGGCCAATAGTAAAGGCCATAACCCTTTACTATTGACCATGTTGACTGAGGCTTCCAGGAACTGAAGTCTAAAACATTAAGCTGTAGTCTGAAATGTCTTGAGGTCCAGATGTTCATCACTCCTTGAATGGTTCCTTCAGCGAGGGGTCTTCAGTGAGCTGAACATTAAAAAAAAACACCAAAATAATGAGCATATATTATTTACATAACTTTAAAGTAGATATTGAAGATGTTGAAATGGTTCAAGATTTTCTACACCTTGGCTCAGTCATTAATCAGATTGGAGACTGCAGTCAAGAAGTCAGAAGAACACTAGGATTGGAAATGGCAGCTATAAAGGAACTAGACAAGATCTTGAAGTGTAAAGCTACATAATTGAATACCAAAATCAGGATTGTCCATGCCATTGTATTTCCAGTTTCTGTGTATGACTGTGAAAGTAGGACAGTGAAAAAAGGTGATAGGAAGAAAATCAACTCATTTGAAATGTTAAAGAGTGTTCAATGCAGGAGACCAGGTCTACGGATACTGTGGATTGGTAAAAAGACAAACAAATGGGTCCTAAAGTAAATCAAATCTGAATGAGACTTGGACTTTGGACATATCATGAGAAGACATGACTTCTTAGAGAAGATAATAATGATTGGGAAGATAGAAGGTAGTAGGAAAAGAGGAAGACCTCATTCCAGATGGATAGACTCTATCCAGGAAGCCACAGCCTTGAGTTTACAAGACCTGAGCAGAGCTTTTGATGATAGGATGACTTGGAGGTCTCCAAGATATAGGGTTGCCTTAAGTCGAAATTGGCTTGACAGCAGTTGACGCCAAACACAGATTTCCTCTAGATACAACATACTGGTGCTATCTGCATGAATCCTACACAAAGGATGTGGCTGGCTGGCAGGCAGGTTTGTGGTATTTTCAGGTCAGGTTAAATCAGTCCAGACCACAAATTTAATACGTCTGGTGAGGTCATCTTCAATTTTAGTGCAAAATGGTCTGTATAATTACGTGCCTTCTTTTGGAATTGCATCCTCCAGGGAAAAGATGCACATGTACACATACTCATTTCTCTCCTGAGAGGAAAAAATGAGCTCAACATATTTTCTTGGTCATCCCATTCTACCTGCAGAGGCTGCTCCATGTCAAAATGTCAAGTGGCAAGACTTTGGGGGCAGTATTTGCACCTTCTTTTATGATCTATTTTGTATTGTATTTGCAGTGGTGAACCTTTCTGATCCTCATTAACTGGCAAGGTGTGATCGTCTAAAAAGTTTGTAGACATTCCTGTTGCTCAGCCATTGTATTTCAGCACACATGGCTCTACGAACATTCCCAGCAATACAACGTGGGTTGTTTTCCCCAGCCATGCTTTCTTTTATGTGTCTTGGCTTGCTTGTGTTTTGGACAAATGTTTATATTTTGTATTGTCACAAGGATGTAACTGAAGAAATCTCCTGAAGATGAAATGGATACTAGAGAACTTCCTGGGATCTCTCATTCTACTACTCCCACTCTTTGATTTATTATTCTTCCAATCTACACTGCTTATCTTCTACATGGAAAATCCAGCAATCAGGAATTTGTAGTTTTTCAGTAATGGGGAATTAATGACTTTTTAAGAATCC